GCTCCCACTAATAGCAGAAACTATGTTCATTAATCTCTTTGATTTCCAAATGGCATGCCAAGGCCTCTCAATATATTTAGCTGACGAACCTTCACAAACCCTGTACCAATAGTTTTCCGGCTCAGGAGCGTCAAATTGTCTCCATATGATCGAGCTTTTATCCTTCCTTAGTTGCATTGGTGTCACCTTATAGCTTCCAACCTTTCTAACTGGAATTTTAGCTTTGTGAGTCTTGTCCCATCTCTTCCAATCTCTAAGAAAATCGCCTTCATCCACAATCGAAGACACTTCTTTCAAATGCTCGAAATCAAAATAGAATCTAAAATCTTTTCCTTCCTCATCCCTGTGGCTCTGTGTATAAGTTGATGCTAGACAAATACTCAAATCCATAACAAATGTACGATTCAAGTACTGGGCCTCACCAAGGGCACACAAGAAGCTCCAAAGATAATGATTCATTCCTTTACAGTAGTCCCCTCCTCGTGAATAGTACAAGTACTTCCCCTTTCTAAATGCCAAATCTGATCCCAACACTGGAATCGTATCATTGATCTCATCGTCCCGCACGGATGGAGCAATTTTTGCCTTTCGACCATTACCAGTGGCATTAATTTGACTCCTTGGACGGCGGGCATTCAAACCAGAATGCCATCGCCCTGGATGAATCACCTTGTAACTACAATCATCCTTGAAGCCCATCCTAAACCTCCGAAAATCCCTATACTTTCTCCAAGACCTCTCTTTCTTGTTCCTGAACCTCCATGCCACATCACATTCAGTAGGCTTCGATCCATTGACCGGTTTTTGATAATCCAAAAAAGCAATCGACTTAAAAGTCCTCAAATTGAACCTCTGGATTGCAATTAAAACCTTAGGGTCTGAACAATTGATCACGTTCAAATCTTCACAACCCGATTTCAAGGTCACGTTTTTCTCAAGTTCCTCCTCAGATTTCTCAATTGAAGCTTCAGTAATCGGGGCCAGTGATCCTATAGGCGATGCCACTGGCGCAGTGGCAATGTCCTCGCCAGTTTTAAGGACGGAAGAATCCGTTTTGAAAGTAGCATTTTCTACCTCCGTGAAAACCTTGGTCAGAGCTCGAGAGGACTCCCACGGATCCGGGGGTTGGTATGTGATTGCAATTACAGTAAATATAAGGACTGAGAACACAAATACTGAGAAACACACATTGCTTATCAGCTTAATTAGGTTTTGCCCTATGGGATCTGTAGGATTCACTTCTTTCATTTACCCAAAGCTATAAATCCCAAATTAAATTCAAACTGATTTCACCAAAGTAGCCAGTGCGCATACATTAAATTCAGCTAAAGAACGGATCTTTGAGATTTAAATGAGGAAACAAACAAATGGCATGCAATCGAATCAATTTTTTTCTTACATAGAGAAGTACTCACCTGATCTGAAATTGACCTAAAATATTGAAGAAGCAACTAAAAAATTGGATCTTGAAACGGTGATTGGTATTAAGGTTCAAAATAAACAATCAATTAAGATTGACAGTCATCTAAATCCGTGAAAAATATCAGATCTTGCACGGTGGAGAGAAAAGTAGGTCTAAAAAAAAATAATGCAAGATCCAAGTTGACTATACCCATTATTTTCAAGAATTGGAATGTAAAATTGGATCTTGATTCTAGAAATTGAAAATTGATGACAGGGGAAGGAAGGAAAAAGGTTTAAGATTATACTTGAAGAAACAACAATCCGGTGAGCTGTCACGATAGTCCAGCAGTGTAGAGAGTGAACTGTGAACCGACAACTAAAGTATTCGAAAATAGCTTAGGAGGTACTTGGATTTTTCTAAATGACGTTTGAATCCGGAACCTTTTTTTTTTTTTTTTTTTTAGCATTTTAATTTTTAATGATGTAATTAAAAAAGAGAGAGAGAGAAAAAACTGTTGAAGTCAATAAATTCGTATATGTTTTATTAGAAACGAAAGCCTCCTATTTAAAAAATAAATAAATAAATAAATAAATTAGGGATATAATGATAATAAAACCTAGAGCTGCAAATGTATAATTATCATTCATTAATAATCATTTTTTTAACAACATTCTTCTTGAATGATATATTACAAAATATCCGTCTCATTAAAATCTTGTTAAAAAAAATTAGTGACAAAACTTGATAGAAGAAAAAGAGTACATATGCTCTTGTAACGAATCATCTATGTCTTGTACGTCCATGTCGTCAATATTGTAATTCTTGCAAAGAATATTCGGTATTGTCTTGTTATGACCTTCAAGTAACACGTTCTTTATACGATATATTTATCAAACATTTGATGAATGTAATAACATGATAGCTCGAAAAAAAACTCTTGTTGATATCTTATTGAATCTCATGCATATTAGAGTATTATTTTGAGGGTAAATACGTTTTCGATCATGGATATACATTACACAAATAATATGTCTCATTAAAACTTGATTAGGAAAAATCCTAGGAGAAAAGTCACAATGAAGGAAAAATGATGCATTATTCTTTTAAGCATACAACAAAAGTTTTCTGTTGTCTCGTTAAAATCTAATGGGACAAAATCTTGATCACAAAAAAAGGTATAACGCGTATTTAATCACTCTCATGATAATATCACTTGAATTATGCTTTAAGCATAAAAATTAATAATTATGTTAGATGAGTTGACTATGCCTTATTTCAAATTTTAGGTATCGTTAAGATAACGTGATATGGACTCGTGATTTTCATCCACCACGATATTTGCAAAATTCACTATGTTGAAAGATGTGTGTTACATATTACGACTTCATTTTTTTTTTTCATTTCCTTTTTGCATGAGTATACACCTTTAAATTTTCGGACTTCGGTCTATAAACTTTTTGTTTCTCTAGTAAAGTCAATTAAAGATTCTGTCTCTTTTATTTGGCCAATCATTATTATGATCGGTATATTTCAACGCATTTATTTCAATTCATCGCGTAGTATTCATGTGCAAAAATGTTGATGACAATTTTTCCTTTTTCAATCTTATCATTTTCTATAATGATATAGTTTATTGAGATATCTCAATTTTCAACGTATCAGATATAAAAACTTCTTCTAAAATTTTATAATTTATTTTGTTTAAATACTCGTTAAGAGTATATATCTATTTGACGGGGCCATCTTTGCGAATTGCACCATTTTCATTTGAAAAATTTTGTATGAGAATAGAATATCATGACACTTTAGTCGTGTCACAAATTTATCGAATATAATATTAAGTAATTAGTCTCCTAAACGTTAATTAGAGTTAGTGCATTTAAAGTTGGTATGTGAGATATTATTAATCTCATTGGTCAACAAATGCATCTAAATAAATTATCTTTCGAACATATAATTCGAATTGTCTTTTACGAGGATTTATATAAGGAAAATACTTTTTATACATAAATATTTACATGATGTTTTAAATAATGATGATGTGTCAAAATGTAAATGGAAAAAGCTATTTGATTAATGAGATTTTGATCAAATTAATCTCACCATATTATCTGTTAGTAAACCATTTTGTAAATTATTTTGTACATGTAGCACAACCATTTAGATAATGATATATTTGTACATTATTTTTTAGTTTCTTAATTTTTTTTCCAGAAAATTGTTCGATCAAATTGACAATCAACAAACTAAGTTATAAAATATCACCCGTTTAGGACAAGGGTTTAAAGTATACATTTATTATCAACATTTTTACTCTTCATCTCAGTGTAATGTGATGGACTAATTGTATATATATTGCACTACCAAAAATTAAATGAAGAAATCAAGTTTTGACCATAAGGTAATTATAATATGGAGAACTATAGTGTGTAATAGCATTGCCTAAACAAAAATGAAAAGTACTTTGCTCTTTATTAAATTAATTAAAGGTGTATAACAAGGAATAGCATTAACAAGACACGTCGTCTTGATTGTACTATCCGAAAAACATACTCATGATTTAAAATTGGAACAATAACTTGGCAAATTTTCAAGTTGTGGACACCATGCAATCATTCAGCAAATGTATCAAATATATTATATAAATATTTTAGCTACTGATGACTAATGACAAGTTTTCAATAAAAATAACATATATGAATTAATTGGATTAAAGAATCTTCTGATTTTTCACTGAACGTCCATTCAAATTCTCATTTCACATCATTATTGATTCAGGATCTTCTAACTGGATATTTACATTAAAATGTCTAAATTGTGATTCTTCAAAAATAACCCCACAAGATTCTTCAAGAATATTAATAAATATAAATTTGTGCTTCTTATAGAGCAACACAATATTTTTATAGAATATTAATTTGTATTAAATACTTCAAACAATTCTACAACAATTTTTTGGAGTATGTAAATGTTCAATTGTATTTCATTCCAAAATAATAATAATATCATACTCTTCGAAAGTAATAACATATTATTGTGTATAGTATAAAATTATGTATGGATTTACTTTTTAGGAGTAAAAACATAATTTATGTTATATTAAAAACATAATTTATGTTAGATTCTACATTATTATGTTATTCAAGAGCAAATTAAATCTAACCAGAATATTAATGAAAATTATTATGTGTTACTTCAAGATAACATTATATTTTATTATTATTTCTTCAAAAGCAATATATCAATATTATTCGAATATATTGAAAATTATAATTTATGCTCTTCATGAGCAAATAATATTATTTTGAAATATTAAATATAATATTGTGATACTTCAAGAACAATAACATGAAGGATTATCAATTTAAAGTTTATAAAGAAACATATAAAAATATTTAATTAGGTTAAAAATATTAATTACCATACATACAATCTTTGATATCAAAATTAATTATCGAACAGATTTGATATGAATCTATACATGAAATTAATATCAAACATACATTAGGAAAAAAATCTTCATACATAGAAGTTAACAGAATTAATTAAATCTTTTACTAACACGCAGAAGATATCAAACACGTGAATTCAAGTACATAAAAGTTAAATCCAAGAATAACCTTAGGGTCCGTTTGATTGCAAAGATGGAATTGAATTGGGTGGAAAACGAATTCCAGAGAATTGAATTGTTTAGAATTGTTTTTCTGGTAATTGTAAATTATTGTGTTTTATTGGTATAATTTTCTATGTGAAAAATGTTGAAATAAAAGTATTTTTTTATGTTCGTTTGACTTTATGTTACATGAAAATTGTTAATTAAAAGGATAGAATTTAATAGTATTGGGGATGACATTGGTTTCCATCGCCAAAAAGCCTAAAAAATATATCAATAAAAAATTCAAAAAAAATAATCTATTTTTTAGTCATTCGTTTGGCTTTATTTTACATGAAAATTATTAATAAAAGAAAAATATTTTTTTTACAATAATTCTTAGAATTGGTTTCCATTGCCTATAAAAAAAATAAAAAAATCATCGCTACAGTAGTCGGGAATTCCAATTCTCACCATATATGGTAAGAATTGGAATTCCACCAAATCAAGGAATAGCACAACTTTCAATAAAAGTTAGGAACCAATTCCATGGAAAATCTTGTGAATCAAACACTACATTTTGGGTGGAATTCCACCCAAAATCCATTTTCCACCCATTTCCATGGAATTGGGTGAATCAAACAATACTTTAGATAAATAGCTTCAAAATGAAATTCACGCACACGGAAGTTAAAGGCATGAATTCCACATATCAAAATGCAATGTTTGCGACAGAATTAGTGTATATGTTAACAAAAAAAATCACATGTATATAAAAAAATGGAAATTATTGCATTTGTATATAAAAAAATTCACATGTCATCGAATTGATTTCAATACATGTGACGGATGATTATGCTTATAAAAACTTAATTCACTTTGATTTTGAGAGAATCATGCTGATAACATATTATAAAAAAGGAGATGAGACTGGAGAAGTTGATAAACTTATGTGTGATTTATTAAAAACAAAAATCCTATATTTATAGAAAAAATTAAAGATATAATGACAATAATATCTAGGATTGCATGGGTACCATTGTCATCTAAAAATAGTATAATTTAAAACAAATGATAGATTCTAGGTAAACAATAATGTAAAGTCGGGCAACTAATTTTTAAAGTCACCCTCAATAAGAAAGCAATTAAATGATTTAGCACTCAAGATTAATTCTAAAAATTCACTATCTCCAATTCCTTTTACTTGTCGTCACACTCAAGATTCACCTTGCTTTCTCTAATTTTTCTGTCACCCTAGGTTCACTGCCCTATGCAAGACGCAGAGAACAAAATAATGAAAATATGTGTGTAGTAGCCATTGCTAAGTTGGACTAAAATGGATTTTTTATATAGCTTCAGAAATGGGTTAATTCTTTGAATGATTACTGAATTATACTAAGTATTACTCTGAACTAAATTTTTTTTTTCTCAATAATTGCTGAACTATGCACTATGTTAACCACACATCACTCAAGTAGAAAAATTCATTAGGTTCAACAAACAATCCAATTTTTGTTCCAAAGAGAACAAATATTCCTAATTTTTGCAAATATCTCTGACCATAAATTAAAAAAAAAAAAACATTTTGTAGAAATCTCAACCATCACTGAAAAAAAAAAATCAATATTTGAGATAGCTACAAGCAAAATTCAATCTTTTGTAGAAATATCTGATGCCCAATCCTAAAAAGTTTTATTTTTCTTCGATTTATAAACCCTTGATTTTTAGTTTCATTTTGTTCTCTCTTCATTTTCTTTGGTTTCTTCTTTCACAAAGATCAATTTGAGGGAAGAAAAAATTGTTGCCGCTTAATAATTGAACTTAAAATTGTATCTCAAAGATTACTGGACTATATACCATGCTATACATTCATCACTCAAGTCGACATTGTTTGTTAAACTTAATGATTTTTCCCACTTGAGTGATGGGTGTGTAAAATGCCGTATAGTTCAATGACTATTGAGATATATTTTTAAATTTAGTTATTAAGTAGTATCATTTGGTATAATTCGATAATTATTCAAATTGTTATAAACAACTACAAACATACCGGATAATTCCAATACCACTTTGTTATGATAATAGGTGAGAAAATAAGAGACACAATATGAAGCAATTGATCACAAACTTAAGAATAAAATAATTTGCAAAGGAATGGAGATTTCACTAAAATATGAAGAAAGAATTATAATGATTTCGTGTTTTGATTTGTCTAACATGTTAATCTAAAATATAATGAAGAGTTAAATATATATAAAAGATGTTTCAAGCCTAAAAGTAGAATTATAGAAGGAAAAGAATGTTCAAAACGCGAAAACGGACTCGAGTCAGATGAATATGTCACTCGAGCGCCAGGCAGGGCTACCCCGCTACTCAAGCATCCAATTGACGCCAGACGATGTTGCTTCACTGCTTTGGGTGCTCAATCTCTAGTCGAGCACTAGGCGAGCATAGTTGTCCCAAAAAGTCCTACATGGTTCATATCCTAATCTCTTCAAATTCAACACAAATTCCACTTCTCAATTCTGTTTTAAATAGAACTTCAATTAGAATTTGTCAACCAGACTTTATATAAGATTTCAAAAGCATTCCAATAAATATAATTCCTCTCAATGTTGACCTTTATTAGAATTTTCCATCATCTTTAAAATAAAATTCACGTCACTTCCTAATTCCAACAAACTACACCTTGACACAAATTATACTACAATGAGAAAATTCAAAGATTTTCTACCTGGAAACAAATTCCATTGCAATGAATGAGCTTCGACTCTTCAACAAATCAAAATTTTCAAGTTGAAAACATTATCCACCACCACAAAATCGAGAAGCGAAAGGGAAGATAATTAGCTAGTAAAAAAATGGAAATTTCATCCTAAATTCATGGTGAAATCAAAAGTAATAAAAATTTGGCCCAGCTCCAAAAAATTAATTTTAGTCCAACTAACTTCATTCCCAACTCATGCCTAATATTCAATTATTCAAATTTAGTATCAAATTTAAAGAGTTCACTTATAATTAAACTAGTTTATTATATAACAAATAATTTTTATTGATTAAAGTAAAGATAAATGACTTATTTTAACAGATACCACATGTTTGACAGCTCAAAAGTAATTAAGCCCCCGTTTGGCCTCCATTCTCTTTCATTTTTTCTCTCTTATTTTCAACAACACAATCTTTCATAAAATAATATTACAAAAATCAAAATTTTTTTATTCTTTTTCAACCACACATTCTTAAAAAAAATACTATTCTAAATATTAAAATTTGGAAAAAAAATGGGGGCCTAACGGGAGCTAAATTTTTTCTAGCGTATTTTTTTATATATTACATTTTATACTTGTAAGTTAAAATTTTATTTATTTAAACCATGAAATGGATGTTATTATCAAAATAAGTAATATGCTTTATATTTACTTTTATCAGTTAATATATAAACTAAATCTCGTGTGATAAAAGACATCTTTAAAAAACTTTAAATTTCAGTCTACCTAATATATATTGCTGGCTCCACCCCTAACAAAACCCAAATCGGTTCAAACTCAAAACCTGAGTAACAAAATTCCAAAACACCATTGGACACCAAAGTTGCTCGAATCGCGAGCACCAAAATCGAATGTAATTAATGATCACCAGATAAGGCTGAAACAAGCCATGTAACTGAATCGCCACAAATTGCTTCAATAGAAGGATCTTGACTAGAGTCCTAACCTTCAACTACGAACGAAGCAAAATCAACATTTTTGTACCTATGTGGAAGTATATTCTCAAAGATGGATCTGTTTCTAGCAATTAAATGCAATGACAACGTTGGTAATGGTGGCAAAGCAGAATTATCCATAACTTTCGAAGTTGACTTAAACGTATTCATCAAAGTAGACGTCAAACAAAACTCTGACGATATTGAAACAAACGCACAATCCACATGAGCTCTACAAATTTATGCTGATTAACTTTCAAAGATTATATAGTACCCTGCAAGAAATATAATTAGGAATTTTTTTTCCCTATAACAGAATATGAAGGCCTTTATGAACTTTCATAATTCCACCTTCACCAATGAATTTGTACTCTTTCAAGTCAAGAGTAATCAAAGAGATAATATTTTTATTCAAATTAGGAACATTCCATACTGCATCAAGTATTCTAACACTTCCATCAGTTAACTTAATTCTGACCCTTTCCATACCAACTATCCAACAAAAGTGTACTATTATCGATCATAACAACACCTTATAAACTTCTTCATATGTCGTAATCCTGATTGGAACGTATATGAAAAGTGCAAGGTGTATCAAGAATCCAACCCTCTTCACATTCAGAATCACCGTCAGAAAGCACCAAAAGATCTTCATCATTGTGAAACGTTTCTCCAACACCGACTTCACTCGAAGTAACTAATTTCTTTTCTTTCTGATTAGCTACAACTAATTTTTCATTATTCTACAATTTAAACAATCCCTAACCAAGTGCCCATTCCTCTTGTAATAATTATAAATTTTATTTGTCAAGTTAGACCTTGATTTGCTCCTTCCAGAATCATCAACAAATAAGGCTATCTCCATGAGCCCGAATTCGAACGAGATGCTTCATCTTCTCATTTGAATAAAGAGCATCATAACATCTTCAATATTGAGTGTATCATGACTAAATAGGAATGTGTTTCTAAACAAAATATATGAAGCAGGCAACAAACACAACAAAGTCAAATCTAAACCTTCTTTATCATATTTGACTTCAAATGTCTTTAAATCAACGACGTTCTCCTTAAATACGGCTAGGTTCAAGAGACGTACATTCCGTCATACGATGAGAATAAAGATGATGCTCCAAGTGCAATTTGCTAATAAAACTCTTCGTCGTGCACAATTGTTCCAATTTTTACCATAACATAGCGATGAACTTCTCCTTCAAAACATCTTGAAAACTGTTATTCAAAAGATGAATTTGAGATAGAGCTTTCTGATCCCTTCATTATTTCTTCTCTTGATTTCAAGTTGTGAACAATTCTTAAATCCGAATAATGCATTGTCCAAATCCATTTGAACTAATATTGCTTGCATCTTTACCTATCATAACAAAAATCATGTGGAGCGATCCAAAATCGGAATATTATGCTTCTTAATTGCCATAAAAAAATCTCCATACGAATAAGACTTTAGCTCTGATACCAGCTTGTGAAAAACGACGACGAAAATACTAGATAATTTCAATACCAATTTATTATGATAATAGGTGAGAAAATAATAGACACAATATAGAAGGAGAATGCTCAAAATGCGAAAACGGGCTTGATGAATATAGCGCTCGAGTGCCAGTAGGTGCCACCTCATTTCTCAAGTGTCCAACTGGCGCCAACTTCACTGCTTTGAGCGCTCGAGCACTATGTGAGCATAGTTGCCTCGAAAAGTCCTTCCTGATTTATTTCTTGATCTTTTCAAGTTCAACACAAATTTTGCCTCCCAATTGGCTTCCAAATAGAATTTCAACTAAAATTTGCTAAATAGACGTTGAATAGAATTCTAAAAGCATTCCAACAAATAGAAATCCTCTTAATGTCAACCTTAATTAGAAATCCCAATCACCTTCAAAATAGAATTTGGATCACACTTTAATTCTAACATAAATAAGTAACCCTTCAGAAGTAACAGAAAAGGAAGTAGAGTGACCCAAAAAACCAATGATCATATTATCAACGTCACTTGTTTTCATGCATTCTGATGGCGAAGTAACAGAGTATAGACTCTAAATTAACGTTTATAGTAGAAACTCTAGCATATTATCCTGAGACTTGATCATCCCATAGAACTAATATCAAGCAGGACCATTTGAATAGATTATGTAAAATTCGGAGATAAATTAGAACACCCTTTATGAAAAACTTTTAAAAGACCTTTAATATTCTACACTTCATTGACGTTAGATTAAGCAAAAAACAATGGCAATTCCATGTTTCTAACTTTATTTTTATGCAAAGTTGTGAATGTTGCATGATCCCGATATAAATTACAAATTTTATAGGCATTGTTTGTTACAAGCAATCTCAGCGGAAGGCATGGTCGTAATCATGATATCGGAAAGTTTTGTAAATAAAGTGAGACAACCATTTTGAAGCCACAAAGCATAGAACAGCCATGCATACCAGGCTGTTCCTTGTAGCCACAGACATAATACCCTGCCTCCCTGCAGCAACTATTCCAATTGAAGCAATGGAGATGACCTGCAGCAAAATCTCAAGTATATTGAGACCTCTGTATGCAAGACTGCAGCTACTACAATTCACTGTGTGGGACCAATACCTGAAAACAATCACAAAAATTGCGTCATTAAACTGCAAATGTAAGAATGCATAACTTCAATCTTGTCCATTTGCATTGATTCTACCAATTAAAATTAAATTAGAAGATCGTGTAAAATTTTGACTCCTAAAAACAATACTACTCAATATTTGTGGGAAAAAAAAGTGACACGTGAATTTTGTTAGCAAGCTCAATTCATATTCTAGATTAATCCCAAATTCCAATCTCGAGAGCATATGAAATGAAAAACATAAGCACGCATACAAATACATAAATTTATAGTGCTTTACCCTCAATGTAAGATCTACGTCCACTATGGCCTAAAGATATTTTCCAATAAGGAGATTATATGGTCAAACAGTACAATTAATTAAGCTCCATATAGTGGCACTGTGCTATGGTCTCAATAGCACATGACGCGGTTTATCAAACAAGTCTCGTATTTCACAATGAGAAATCAAAGAAAATGAAGCCAACTTTATATTTTGGTCCTAGTTAGCTTGAGTCGACCACAGTTTGAGTCCTCTAGATTTACCTATCAAACAGCTGCTCTCTAGGAGGGGTTGGTGGGAGTAGTCTGCTAAACTTTGTTCCGAAGTCAACTTGAGTGCCTGCATAAGTGTTTAACCACTTTCTGAAGGCAACCACAAGAGCATCTGCCTTAGTTGGCACAAAGCCAGATTTATGCCAATTGAGAGGGCCAACATCCGCTATCTTGCGCTCCTAAAGAAACAATAAATGAATCAGCTCATTTAATGTGTGTCTTCCAAGGTACTATATGATTGTATTCTTACATAACGATTAATGATTTAATATTGAGCAATCTAAAGATTTTATCACAGAGAAAATATACATACATGAGAAGCCTTCTCAAGAAAATGGACTCTTTGAAATGATAAAATTGAACTAATACTCAACAGTCAAGCGATGGATTATCATGAGGTGGAGTACCGCGAAACATATCAGAAGACTTATCTGGGATGCATTTGTCTGATTTCTTTCTTCATTTTTCGCATTTCAATTACCTTTAGTACGCAATAGTGTTACCATAAAAATAATGCTGCTAGCAAAATAAGCACAAGCAAGGAAACGCATTGGTAGATAGATTCGCGAGAAAAAGACATTTGGTGCCCTGTGACTTGCCTGCCTTCTTTTGATAATTTGTTACATAGACCACACAAGTTTATTCAAATGATATACCTACATAGATTTAAATGCCCTGAACGTCAGGCCACCCTGATCATATTTAAAGAGAGCAAGATAGCATAGACATGAAACATTTAAGTATCTACTTATTTGTCAATGCTTGATAATCATGTATAGGATCCTAGTGCTCAGTTTTAGAAGATATCTAAGTATGTTGAATATTATGATAAAATGTAATTCGTAAAAAAATGAGTTAAAATTCACCTCCACGTGAAGAAGATATAGATCTGAATCTAGAATTAAATTTTGTCCAATATGAAAGAGCCAACGTGGAACAACTCGATCTATCCACACCCCAAAGTTTCTTGGAGAAGCAAATATCAACCTGCTATTACCCGGACTGACTGGAATACAGTAGAAAATTAGAAGCGCTCTTTTCTGTGTAACAGGTGATGCTGGCTCCTGCATTAAAGATAAAACATATTGCTAAAGAAATATGATGAGATTAAGCCCCTGTTTGACAACCATACTTTTGGGGAAAAAAAGAGTTTTGAATAATAATTTTTAGGAGGATGTGTCGCTAAAAAGTACCAAAAAATTTTGGATTTACGTGCAGAATGTTATTGTGAGAATGTATGGTTGAAAATGAGTATGTAGAAAAAAGAGTTCGACAAATATGGTCGTCAAACAGGGGCTACTTATTAAGCAATCAAAACTTGAGACGATAAAAATATCAACTATTTACCTCCGTGGTTCCAACAGATGATGTGGACTGCTTACTTGGATCCCCTCCTAGACTGTAAAAACTGTAGTAGAGACAGGGTGCAACAAAATTGTTATCCCCAGTTGCTTTCGCAGTGAAACCGTTTATGTCTAGTTTCTGTAAACTTATTTCAACCGGTTTGCCTCCCTCTCTATCAGCCTTCAGAGTGCAGGATACTTACTGTTAGCCATGTGAAATTCACAGGAAAACATGTCAGATGTGAGTCATGCACAGATTTACTTATCTCTTTGGCGTTTCTGGAACTCTCATTATTCCATGATGTGCGTAATAGACATGCGCAGGGTCCATAAGATTTTCAATCAGAAGTTCATACCTGAAAATGCCAATGCGGCTGTAAAGAATAACACAAAACAGGTCCATGCTTTGATGCTCGATTTATTATCTATGCTCCGTGTGATGTCACAGTTAGTTGTTAGAACTTTCATCATAACAACAAATGAATCAGGTATCAACTTTTCTGTCCCTTGAGGGATCATAATTGAATTTGTTCATCTTACTTTTTCACATAAGTCCATGTTATCTCTTTATCCACAGCAGTTCCATTTTTCTGTTTCTCAGAAATTATTTCCTTTTTCTTGTGGGAAAGCAAAGGAATGCAAGATTTTTGTTTTCCTTTAATTGATGTACAAGAATACTGAGAGCTAGTGTGAAGGTAACAACATTCAAATGGAAAACTTTATGTTGATTCCGTGCAGAGTACCTTGAAACATGACTCATAAAAATTCTTTAACAAAACGGAAAAGCAAACAATAGCTTACCCGTAGGGTATATCTCTCGATATCATCATATTGGTGAATGATGGGTCATCAAGTTCTGGGATGTAGGGAGGCTTCTTCTTCAAATGAATGTCTTCATATAACGGATCAGAATTCGCCCAAAACCAAAGAATATTATTTTGTACACAACTTGGATACACAGCTACACATGCTTTCTTAGAAGTGTGAACCTGCAGAACCAATGAATCTTCTTATTTTAAAAGAAATTATTTATTGTCTAGAAGCCATGATGCAAACACTCATACACACAATCAGAGCAAGGCAAAAGTATGTTGTGTCATGATCAAGAGTTTTTTTAACTTAATGCCAGTTAAAATGCTTAGGATATTCTGTACGATCAGAAAAGGCTCACTCTATACCACACACGACCTTTTCCAACATCTATGATGAGTTATTCTACTTTTCAGGCTATTTCCTTTTCATAAAGGGGCTCATGCACAAGAAACTCGTTTTTAAATGAAAATTNGGAACAGGTGAATTTAATTTCTGAGTTAAAGGAATCTGAATAATCGGTTTTTCAAATATTGTTCTTGAAATTAGTGGGTAGGTGGATGACGGAAATGAGAAAGCTCCCAGAGCTTCCATGGCTGGGAAGTTTCTTTTGGGAACAATAATTTGCTCAAAATGAATGGAAAAGATAATTATTTGTATGTGGATGGAGTTGAAGAGACGAACGTACAAATGTGTATGGTTGGCAACAAACCAAAACAGCGGGCTTCTTCTAAAATTGACCAAGTAAAATGTTCTTAATTTCACTTTGACGTTTAAAAACTTAAATATTATCACATTAACTTCTTAAATAGTAAAAAACAGAAATATTCTTAAATATATTATGTAATTACAAAATATTGAATAGTTTAAAAGATTTTATTACTCTTTTAGTTAATAATGAAAAATCAAATATTTCTCTACTTATAAAATTGCAGAACGAGTTTCAAACATATAAAAACTCTCATTTTTTATCTGCTTGAACCTCAAAATATCAAAAAAATTTAAATGTCGAAATCAGAATTTTTTTCAGATCAATTACTTCAAATCGGTGAGTATATTTTTACACATGCTTAATTTCGATTTCAATAAATTAGTGTACGTTTGAGTAGTTAAATAACACAGTAGTTAGTAGAAATTTTTTTTAATAGATCTATAATTTATTTCTTTAGAACCATAGAAAAATAAAAAGTCATACGCAAAATAAACAATCTGACAATTAACTGTGGGATGGTAATGAAGACTGTTAGACAGCAGACAGCCGACTGTGAAAATACTGTCAAACAGCCGACTGTCTATGTTAGATGACTAACAGTCGACATAGACAATCGGCTGTTAGACGGCCAACAGCCGACTGTTAGTTGGTTGTTTCGGCCGACTGTCGGCTGTAAAACAGTCCACAGTCGGGTTTTCCCGACTATTTTACAAATATCTTTATTATTAGTTTTTGTTATGGCAATTGTTTTATAATTTTAATTACAAGTTGATTAGATATCTGAATTTTTGTTATTGTAATTGATTTTAAAATCCTATATCGTCATGCAGCTATAATAATCCCTGTCTGTTATTTCGGTGATTTCGAATTGAATGAAAATAATAGATGGGAATGGAGATGGATGAGTGATGTATATGTTTGTAATGCAATTCCTGTAACAAAAAGTACATCATATGCGAAAGTGTACCAGGATTTGCAAAATAAGCTGAATGTTGATTCTTTGCAGTACAATATGCAACTGAGATATTTATTCAATGGTTATGGTGATTCATCCATTCCGATACCACCTATATTTGTTACTAATAGTGCTGAATTGAATTATGTATTCGAATTGAATAAAATACATAGGACTCTGATTGTTCTTTGTGTTATTTTAGTTAAGAAGGATGTTGTCGAAAGTGAACGCAAAGATTCAAATGGAACAGATAATAATGACCGAGATTTTTGGGAGACGGTGGAGATAGTTCCTGCAGATGATGTGATTATTCCCGAGACAGTTGTTATTGATCGTGAAGTCACTGTTACACACAGAATTCCGTCGACAGTTGAGGATAACGAAAATATAAATGATTTTACAAATAAAAATTTAATTGCTTTATCTCGACAGAGACCTGAGTGGGGCGGGAGCTCAGGGGTGGAACAAGTGGACCGTTCTCTAATTCTTCGCGTATGGCTCCCGATGATAACGATTTGTATGTTGAGCAACTATTTGAAACCAAGAAAGATTTGCAGGAAGTTGTGCACCGGATGATATTAAAATATAACTTTGAGTTCAAGGTAAAAAAATCAACCAAGTCATTGTTGACAGTAGTCTGCGTTGACGACAATTGCAATTGACGCTTGAGAGCGACTAAGATGGACACGAATGAGTGCTTTGTAGTTCACAAATATGCACGGGAACATACTTGCGAAGTGAGAATTTGTCGAAATGATCACAGGCAAGCTCAAGCATGGTTTATTGGTCGACAGATAATGCATAAGTATCAGGACCCACGGACGATCTACAAATCTTCGGACATCATTAACGACGTCCGTTGAGACTATGGAGTGGTCATGAGCTACCAGAAAGCCTAGAAGGCCAAAGAATGTGCGTTGGAGGATTTAATGAGATCGGCTGAGGAGAGCTATGCTAAATTGGTCAGGTATTGCCATAACATGGGGACAACTAATCCTGGCACGACATATTTTATTGAGACGGGGGGCGATAATTGTTTTAAGTATTTGTTCATGACTTTCGGACAATGTATTCGTGATTTTCGAAATGCAATGCGACCCGTAATTCTAGTTGATGGTACAACTCTGAAAGCTAAATATCAAGGCAAATTAATTATTGCTACATGTTAAGATGACAACATCCAAATTTACCGTATTACATTCGGCATAGTCGACAACGAGAATGATCTGTCCATGCGTTGGTTCTTTTCGAAACTGAGGGAAGTGATCGAGAAAGTCGAAAACCTTGCATTTGTAACCGATGGGGGACAGTTTATAATAAATGGTATCGTTGAAATTTTTCCCGAGGCACATTACTGGTATTGCATGTACCATATACAAGGTAATTTGAAGACTAGGTATCGGGGCAAAGACATCGTTTCATTGTTCAGGAGAGCAGCCGAAGCTTACAGTGCTGAAGACATAATAAGTTCATGTTCGAGATAGGAAGTAAATCATTATCGGCGTTAGAGTATCTGATGAACATGGAGATCGAACATTGGGCGTGGTCATACTTTCCAGGATGTCGATACAATATGATGACGTCGAATAACGCGGAGTCTCTCAATGCATTGTTTAAGAAGGATCGAGAGTTACCAATTATCGCAATGATTAAGAACATTCGTAACAAGCTACAACAGTGATTTCATGACCGACATGCGACATCATAGAGTTACACTAGCGTGCTGACCTCAGCTCAAGAGGAGAAACTCTTTAAGGCGACAGAGGTTGCGAGGAAGTTGAATGTGGAAGCACTAGATGAGTTCCGCTTTTCCGTGCAATGTGCACGTAATACGGCATATATGGTGAACTTGACTTATAATACATGCACTTGTATGAGATTTCAGTTAGAGAGTTTTCCATGTGAGCATGCAGTTGCGGTGGCGATGTATCGAGGCTTTGCGGCGAGAACATTATGCTCTTTGTATTATACGACTGAGTCTTGGAGAACATCATATGCTGAGACTATATTTCCTCTGCCGAATGAAGTCGAGTGGGAAGATCCCGAGTACATTCTCCCGTTTCATGATTTGTTGCCACCAGCAGTTGAATCGCGTGGTCCTGGACGTCCAATTACATCTAAAATACCATCTACCGAAAAATTTCCTCAACCACGTAAGTGTGGCGGGTGCAAAGTTATAGGGCATACTCGACAATTTTGTACCAGTCAAATTTCCCTAAATGACAATTAGACAGGTACGTTAAATGAATAATATTTCCGCTTACTTTACACCGTTCAATATTTGTTCTTTATAGATGTTCAATGTTCAATATTTATTCTTAATAAATGGTATTTATAATGATTTATATGAAAAAATTAATTTCATACTCGGCATGTGTGTAAAATAACAAAAAATAACTTACAGAAAAATAATTAAATTTTCAATGTGAATGTTATATACATTGAACATAAATTTACAATTATTTCATAATCACAAAAAATAATTAAATTTTCAATGTGAATGTTATATATATTGAACACAAATTTATAATTATTTCATAATCACAAAAAATAATTAAATTTACAATTCAAATGTTACATATATTTAATACAAATTTACGGGTCACCATTAAATTCGAACAAATCACAAACTAGCTTCTTTCTTCAGTTCTGTATCCACGATTGGTTGATTCTATCAATCTTATGTCCTATACTTAAAAATTCAATGTACTTAATGACAAATATGCCGCAGTCACCGCTACAATTGAACAAGAATGGATCAGTTCAATACTGTGTAGCTAAAAAACTAAATCTGAAAGATGAAAATAACAAAGTTTAAACACTTGCCTTATGGACTGTCGCGCTGTCGTCGTGTTCCAAACAATTCGCAATCTGTCGTGTACAGTCATCCCCACACATTTGGCCATCATAGGAAAAATTATAGCTACGGACTCTAGGTTTTGCTCCAGCTGGTCTAGTGTCAAATATGAATGATTTGGGTCGTACACATATATAGTCATGTCAGCAAAAACGATCTCCAGCGTAATATAGTGCTTATTGATGCACACTGGAATGTACATATGTGTATAACCCTCCAATGATTTTCCCCCCGACACTCGGCGACATTCCTATTACCCACTCAAGCATATATTTTGGCATCGTATACTCGTTACCCATAAGTTGGAGCGACTGATACTCTATGATAACGACATGCAGGAACTCGGTGTTTAATATGACTCGACCATGGACGTCAAATGATTTTAAATGTCTTTGAGCTCGATTTCGCAGCAAGTCCATGGCCAGGTCAATGTGCTGCATCAGGAAACACCAAAAAAATATGAGTTATTCATTTAATAAATACAAAGTGACGTATACATAAAAAACACGAAATGAATAGTTCACTTACATTGTCGAAGAGCCAAGCTCCCGAAGTGGTGATATTGTGGAACCACTTGTAAGCGTTCGAGACCGTCCAGGTACCTATCATGCGGCTAGCTCTGAAAAAATAGGGAAATGTTAAAATAATCATAGACGAGTTGGCGTACAGTGCTTTATTAAAATCATACAATACTTACCCGGGGGATAATTCTCCTCTACTCCGTCTCGAACGCTTTTCATTTGGCGTTATCCACCTCCCTGAATAAGTTCGGGTGCGTCCCATCGATGAACGTCCTCCTCTTGGCCTCAGCCATGAAAGGGGAAACAACATACTGTGGTGGCACTCTCAACCTCTTGCCGACCACCTGCTCCGTCTCATCAACAGCATGTCTCTTACCCTCAATCACGACAGGCGTCCTCTCAACCTCCGGGGCCACCTCATCCGCCCCTCCCATCTGGGCCTCCCCCTCCGTCGCCACCTCCTCCGCCCCTCCCATCGGGGCCACTCCTCCGTCGTCCCCTCTCCCATCCCCATCGGGGCCACCCTCTTTCCCTCTATAGACAACCACAATGATTCTAATGTCTCATCATGTCAAAAATGTGGGTGACCCCCCTCTCCATCACCATCTCTGCTACCCTCTCGATCATCATGTCCACCATCCCCTCTGTCCCCCCATCGCCTAGTAGCTAAATCTCCTCTAAGTGCCGCTACCGTATCCTGAAGGTCGACAATGCAAGACCGTAGCATTCCAACATCATGGGATAGATCGTCAACCCTCCCTGTCAACTCTCGTCCCAGATCATCGACATTCTCCGTTAACTCTCTTCGTAGCGCGTCGACCTCCTCCGCTATAAATTCAGTCAGACGGGCATACAAATCATCACTCTGTGTTGGAGATACACGGGGGACGTGTCTGGATGAGGGAGAAAGAGATACCCTCGATGGTGGCGATGCTAATGGCGGCGGCGATGCCCTCGGCGGAGACAATGCGTATGGCGGCGACGATACTCTCGGTGGAGGTGATGCCAATGGTGGCAGCAATACCCTCGACGGAGGTGATCGTCAATCAGTTGGACCGCCCTCCTACATAAAAACATTAAAAATTATTCAATAAATTTATACGTCGATGATATTCAATAAATTATATTCAATTCACATACCCAATCTCGATCTAGGCTCGGATCAGACATCTCCTCGTCTTGGGTGTGCGGAACGCCTAAATTGAGCACAAGACCCCGAGCCTCCTCTTCCATTGACAACATCAACTTAGCTATGACTTCAAACTCACATATTGACATTTCAACTAGTTCAAGATCATGTAAATAGATTTTAAACTACGTATAATATAAATCACAAATGCATAATACTTACCTGAAAATCATCGAGGAGGGCCGATAACTGTTTCCTAGTGGGACATCTGTCCGCTCGCGACGATCTCCAATGATGCATTCGAGGGCATTGTGTCTCCCCTCGCTTTGCAAAATGGGCCCCAAGTGCAGGGACTGTCTCATACACCCAAATCTGCGACACATACACTTATTATGCATAAATGTAATATACTAAAACTTTAACTTTAATTATATTAAACATTTACATGCACCTCTAAGGGCAATCCATATGCATCATATTTACGCATTGACCCCCTGAACTTTGAGTGTAATATGGTGAAAACATGTACGGTGTTTTCGGAGCATCTTCGGCCCCATGGATAGTTGTTGAACGCATGGATGTCGTCAACAACTTCCAAATGAAATATATCGATGACAGTCTTCTTGTGATGACACCTCATCACACTCTCGAGGATGTAGATCAGCCCAAACTTCAATCTATCTAGCATTTGGTCGCACCCCCTGATCGCGACCATCAACTAGGGTAGATGCACCGACCCATGTCCCTGGAAGTACATCTCGTATAGCCTATTGCTTCTCTCAATGGTTGCATCGTCGCCCGTAATCTTCAATCTAGTGATCAAGCTAAACTCATACATCAAGAAACCGACGACTTTGGCCCCGAGGTCGAAGTGAAGGGAATCGCCGTCGACTGGCCTCAGAAGCCGACATAGAAGTGCATCGATGATTTGTTTTGAGTATTGCACCTCTCGCATATGGTACAGTGGTCAAAGAAGGACTGTCGTAGCATATCTCTGTGATGATCATCAAGCAGCTCCAACACAGCAGTAAATCTCTTAAAGCTACTGTTCCAAGTAGCTTTCCCCGCCATTCATCTCAACTCCCCATCTAAATGATACTCCATCCTGCAAAAATTCAAATGTTAGAACATTGAACAACAGATAATAAAGTAACGCATAATCTCAAAAAATCAAGGTAACCGAATTCTAACTACCATACAATACGCAAGACATTCAAGCTAATAACAAAATAAATTCAATACAAATTTAAAAATTAAAATAATTTAGTTATAAAGAAAATTAATTTTGTATATTACATTTGGAAAATATATTTACAAAAAAAATTCAAATTAAATACATTTTTAAAAAATTAAAAAATATAAATATTATTTAAATAAATTAGAAAAAAATCAAAGATTATTTCATAAAAGAAAAATAAAATGAACAAAATAAATTGTTAATTTCGGATAAGATTATCTATTCAATTATTAAATTATATAAAAAAGGTAATTATAATAATTAAATAAATAAATAACATAATTATTATTTAATCAAATTAAACTAAATTAATTATAAAGAAAATTAATCTTGTAATCATTTGGAAAATATATTTACAAATAGAAAATTTCAAATTAAATACATTTTTAAAAAATTTAAAGAATATTTATATTATTTAAATAAATTTGAAAAAAAATCAAAGATTATTTCATAAAAACAAAAATAAAAGGAACAAAATAAATTGTTAATTTTAGATAATATTCAATTATTAAATTATATAAATAAAAGACAATTATAAAAAATAAATAAATAAATAAATAATATAATTACTATTTAATCAAATAAAAAAATAAATTAATTAAAAAAATTGATTAAAAAAACAAATAAAAATTATATATATATACACTAACAAAATTGCAGACTGTTAACGGTCGGATTGACCCGACTGTTAACAGTCACCGTCTTTTACTATCCCTCCGTCGGAAATCGCCATTGTCGATGATGAAGAGGTCCAAAAATTACAAAAAAATCACATTTTCACCCCAGCATGACCCACAATCTAACTACTTATGCATTTTCATCTAATTAAACCGAATAAACGTAAAATAATTCAATTAATGAAAACTGGAACAAAAAATACAACTTCCTGCGAGAAAACTAATCGGAATATTTCATCCGGTGGTAGATACGTGCTTCTGGTCGTCGATTGAAATCACTATGACGTTGGTGGTTTCGACCGGTGGTTGATCGGTTAGTTTTTCTGGCAATTGTGGCGTCGATTTTTTTGGGTCAATCGGTTAGAGAGGAATCTTTCAAACAGTCTGTAGCCTTGAAGGGTAAAATCGCCCTTTTAATGTAAAGTTATGTTTAAACTTAATTTTTTTAAAATTCATTTAATGGGTCAAAGGCCAATGTTACAATTTGTTACAGTCCAAGAGTCATTTCCATGTATTTCCTCTCAAAAGAGCTCGTCTTTTAGAGTTAATTGTTCAGATGATCACTGAGATTTGGTTAATATCTTTGATTTATCATTGAAATTTTAAATGTCGAATTTTGGTCATTGAACTTAAGTCAATGTCTTTGATTGCTCACTGAACTTAGGTCCATGTGTTAGATCATTGAAATTTAAAATGTTGAATTTTGATCACTGGATTTTGGAATATATTGTACGTTATTCACTAGCATAATTGTTGAACTTTGAAAAATATCAAGTTTATAATGGGTAATGTACAACATTTTTCAAAGTTCAGTAAGTAATGTACAATATTTTTCAAAATTCAGTGAGTAACGTGAAATTTTTTTCAAAGTTCAATGACCAAAAATCGACATTTTAATTTTTAGTGAGCAATCGAAAACATTGACTTAAGTTCGGTTATCAAAACTCGACATTTTAAATTTCAATAATCAATCAAAGATATGAACCTAAGTTCAGTGACTATTGGAACAATTAACTTCATCTTTTACTGACGAAGTTATTGATTCAGAGGGTGTTTGACGGGGATTAAAATTAAGAATTTTTAATAGATTGTGATAGAAGGTTTTAAAGTGTGTGGTTGAAAACTTGTGGAGCCCACGAAAGACGTTGATAACATTGATCGTTTGATTTTGATTTAAATTAAAAACAAATTTTAATCCAAATGAAACAGGTCCTTAGATAGTTTTTGAAGGATACGCATTTAGTTTTCTTTTACCGTTGATAGTGACATAGTTACTATTTTCACAACTGTTAATATAAAATATAGAGGATATTTGGTGGGGATTAAAATTAGATCTTTTAGTAGATTGGAATAAAAGTTTTTGAAATGTGTAGTTGAAAACTTACGAGACCCATAAAATATATGGTTAATATTAGTTGTTTGAATTTGACTGACTTAGATTAAAATCAAATTTTAATCCAAACCAAAGGTGATCATAGATTGTTAAACACTTAAAAGGGTAATCCTTGATGTCGGTCCTATCTTTCTAACTTCTCGACGAGCTACTTGCTTCAAACATAAATATGCTGGATAAACTAATCTCCACAGGAATAAATTATGTAAGGTTTGGGGATAATCGTCTATAAACAAAACTTTAAAATGCCAGTAATGTTTTGTACCTAATCAGAATTCCACGTTTCTAACTTTATATATATATACAAAGCTGTATATGTTAGATACAGGCAGCCTCAGCGGAAGGCATGGTCGTAATCATGGTACCTAAAAGTTGTGTAGATAAAGTGAGACAACCATTTCGAAGCCACAAAGCATAGTACAGCCGTGGATACCAGGGTGTTCCTCACAGCCGCAGACATAATACCATGCTTGCCCGCAGCAACTATTCCAACCGAAGCAATGGAAATGACTTGCAGGGCGATCTCAAGCGCATTGAGACGTTTATATGCAAGATTGCAACTGCTACAATTTACTGTATGGGACCAATACCTGAAAAGAATGCGAAAAATGTGTACAGTGAAAATGCAACCTCTTACATTCGCGTTGATTCTTACCAATTAAAATCAAAGAAGAGTCTTTGAG